AAAAGCAACGAGCACCGCATGAAAATGCTTGTTGCTAATTGATGAGAAGTTTCACAATGTCTTATTCTGCTGCACACGTATTTCACTTTAACCTTGAGACCGTCTGTTGCAACGATTGAAGATCTGCAGTTTCAGCTTAACTCAAATCAGTAGCATCAAGGTCATCGCTCTAGAAACGGAAATCGGAACATGAAAAGGAAAAATTGCCGTTTATGGCGAGTGTGTAGGTAGGTAGCATGACCAAGTATCCATCTAGATACAACATCATGAAACAGATTCATCCAGCAAAAGAAAACAGGTATCCATCCCATACATAGATCCATCCGTCCATTCACATCCATCCGTCCATCCATCCAGTCCTTATTCCACCCTGGCCCTATCAAACGCCCCATTGAATCCCGTGTCGGGTCAAACACTCTCTAGCATGTGAGCATCAGACACAGACAGTCCTTTCATTCAAAGTAACCCAAACCAAACCAAACTAAAAGAGACGTGATCAAAGTGAAAAAAATATCCAATGAGTGAATAGATGCCGCTACGTGGAGCAACCAATAACTATGTACCTTTTTAGTCATGTCTGCCATTGTCCAACTGAGGACCCCCTTCTCATGGTCGTAAAACGTCTATTAAATATGTACTGCCGAATTAAGAAACCGGAGTGCCGGCGAAGCGTGCGTCTTTGGATCAAATCCACTGCGGTGTCGTAGGCTTGGCATGTGACACCTCAGGAAAGAAACTGAGGATGAGGCTCTGAACGTCGCTGAGATACTCCTCGGGGGAGAACTTGTTCAGACCTCTGGACTTCATGAATCGGTGGTCCTCCTCATCCTCCTTGGTCGTCGGCCTGGTGCTGTACTCTTCGGCGAGCTCGGTGACTTGTGCAAGCTCGTGACCAAATGGGTGTGAATCCTTGAGAGCTCGCTGCTGGAAAGATGGTGGGGGAACTGGAGCGACTGCGGGGACTGCTGGAACAGGCATTGGGGGAGCCTTCTGGGCCTGGCTGGCAGAGACGTATGAAGCTGATGACGCCCTAGTAGAAGTTGACGATGATCGTGAAAAGGTGAAGCTGGCCTTGGTCGATACTGAGTGCTCTGAGTCCCTAGACATCTGCGAGGTGGACCGTTGACGGGCAAGCGCTTCGTATGAGTTCTGCTTAGTGTGCGAAGGCGAACGCCTGGGAATTGCAGGAGCCTCGGAGATCTTTGGCAGGACAGCTGGCTTGTCCGCGACACTGAAATAGGTTGACAGATGGTTCGGCTTAGGACCCGGGCACTCTTCGACAGGAGATACATCCGGGCTCGTAGGTGGAGTGGACTCGGTAGTTGAAGGAGCCTCGGATTCTTCGCCAACGGAACGCAGAGACGACTTGCTGCGGAGAACAGCATGCGGGATATCGGGAGCGTTGTAGGAAAGCATGTTGGTCGTGTGAACAAGTTGAAGCGGAGCAGAAATCTGGTGTCGTAGAATAGGATGCTGTCTATCGCGGGCCGAGTTACTACGGTGCGGCACTTGAACTTGTTGCTCTCCCATCTCGGTCTGGCCAGCCATTTTGGCCTTTCTAGTTGTGAAAGCGCGCGAGAGCGACATGATTGAAGATTTTGGTTTCTGGGTTACGTCTTTTCTCAAATAGGTTTTTGGTTTTTGGTCGGGTTCTAAGTGAGTTTGTGGGGTGATGAGGAGTTGCTGCTAGTGAACAACGTCCTAGGATAGAAGGGATCGTGGACAGGTTCGTGCCACTGACTTGACACTAATTTTCTTTTTGAGGAAAGTTGTGCTTGGAACTATTGCTAGACAAGCGAGCAGAGGGTGTTGGTGTGAGGTGATTTCGGTTGACGTTGAATGCGTAGTGAGACAAGGAGTCCAGTCCTTTTGAGTTTATGAATGAAGTGTCCGTGTGAGATCCGACTTCTGGAGCGGAAGATCAACGTCTGGCGTGATTCGATGTGAATGTGTCGGTTCTTCGAGAAAGACAGTGATTTACGCTGACCGGCTTTGCAGTGACAACGTGAGAATGTGGTGAGTGTGTGAAGGAACGTTCAACGTCAGAAATAGGTGTATCGGTCGGTATCCGTGAGGTTGTTTGATCGATCCTGCGACGAAGGCATACAAGAAAAGAGTGAGAGTATAAATGAAGGAAGATAAAGAAGAGGTTATGGCAGAGGCAGAGATATACAGAGCTAGATCAATGCACACTGAGAAGCAAACACGATCAAGAGAGCGATGGATCGTGATACTTGATATTTTCGAGAAGAATTGAAGATACAGGCCTTTTCCGACGTATGCAATGCAAGTTTGTCGAAGGACAAAGACAAGGACAGAGGCAAAGGAGAGAAAGTCAAGCGAGCAAGCACTTGAGAATAACTAGATGGAGAGAATCGAACTGAACGGCAGGCGTGGGGACGGGGGGATGAAACAAAAGATATGGGGGACCCAAGCCCTGCTCACAACTGCCTGATTAGAGAGCTGAAGCCGAACCTACAGTACCTTACCTTCGGGCAGTGGACAGTGGCCTAGAGTGGACAGTAAGGTACTCAGCGGATGTGGGACCGGCCTTTCACTGTAAGTTTAGCGCACACCTGGCCACCAAGCGTGTGAATTGGCGGGCAGCTAAACTCAGGCTTTGACTTTTTGGCCTTTGCAACGGCCCGGCCATCCTCCCCCCTTTGGAGCTATCCCTAGACAAAGACCCATGTCCCTGCAACTAAGCCCTCGTTGGCCGACGCCCCTGGCTAGAAGAACACTTGAAGCAAAGAATCCTGGTCTCGCGTCAATGGAGCCAGCCAATCGCGTGTATTCTCTCTTCCTCTACCCCTTGTCGCTTTAGTGATCGGTCCACTGATTTAGTTTTTTTCTCTCTTGTCTGCATGGGAAACCCACGGCCAGCGCCAACAGGAAGAAGGGCGAGAAAAGACAAAAAACCAGCTGAGGTCTGTCTGCCATGTCTTGCAACTTCCATGTTATCGCCATCAGAGAGAGGTTCAGAACAATATTGGTGTACACGATCAAGCCCAAGAACGCCAATGGTGATACACGATCGATGATACACGCGTACCTACAGCACCCCAATTGTTTCTTTTTCGTCTCTTAATTTGTTACAGCTTAGAAACAAACATCTATCTTTGCTTTGTTTCTTTTGCCTTCTGCCTTGATTTCTAAGTTAGTTTAGTAGTAGACAGACCAGAACCTAATGGTGAGGCCTTTGTTTCCCAGCTAAGGTACTACCTAAAGTAGCATATGCACGTCTATGTTGGCTTCACACCAACATGGAGCTCCTTGCTGGGCCATTCACCATCAATCTTGACCCTCCATCCTCAACATATCCCACCATACATGGTGGCGACATGACCCGCGCGCTACCAGCAAAGCCAGAGCAAAGCAAGGAGGACCCATTTGAGTGATGAACTGGGCCGACATGGAAAAATTCTATTCTATCAATCGGGTTACACCGATCGCCAGGGGATGGATGCAAGCACTCAACTGCAGACTGCAGTGCAGTGCAGACGCCCAATTCTTCTTTGACAGCTTGGCTGACTGGATGCAGATTGCAGAATATGCGTTCGTATGTGATGTGTTGTTACTGCATGACCAGCTCACACACAGCTAAGTCGAAGATCATCACCAGGAACTGACTAAATGGGCTGAATTGTCCATCAGCAGTCGAAAGCCACACCGTCCACGTCTCGTCTCAGTCAATTGACAAAAAGGACCTTCACACAGTAACTGAGTCGTGGGCGTGCCCGGCCATGGCCTTTCGGAAATGACCAGAGCTTCCTCAGGCACATCAAGGAACAAGCCTTCAGACTCTGGTTGACCATTTCCCCTCAATCAACTCGTTTCTAAGCCTCAAGAAGTCTTTGATTGGGTCAACGGCTTCAGCACCATTACCGTTTTCTCCTGTTTCAGGCCCATGTGCCTACGCAAGCGGATCCAACTAGAGCCCCGAACTGTGATGTGATGGCGTCTACGGAGTACCTAACGTACGAGACAGGCAGAAAACCAGCATGACCCTCCTAGCCCTCCCTGTCTTCCTGCTCAATGCCGTGTGTTTTGGGGGCTGGTAGATCCTCCGCTTTCGATAAACGAAATGTTGAACATGGCATGGTCACAGCTTTTGTCTTCTCCACTCTACCTAGTACCTGTGAGAGGATGACCATACAAGGCACCTCGAATACGTAAATTGCTGCATCATGAGAAATTCCATGGATATATGATATTGAGTATTTAAATGTCTGTCATCAGAAACCTCTCTTTTGGTGTAATACACATCCCCTAACTGCCTCAGTACGGAGTATATTCTGCACTGACATGATCCGCTCTTCAACTGACTCCTCAGGTAGCTACTATATCTATGGAACCCAGCGCACAGAGGTCTCATTTCGCAATGTCCACCATCATCACGTTCGTCTTGTCTTGGACTGTCTGAGAATAGTCCTTGACAATGCGTTCGCGCGACTCAGTGCTACCGCCCTATTTTCAGCGCCTGTGACGTGTGAACGTCTGTTTTCAGACAACCCACACAAAGATGACTGCATGGTTCGTGAGCCATCTCAGACCGTCCAAGAGGACCCTTAATATTCCCTTTCCACCAGCTATCTTATCATGCTCACATATTGTTTCTATGCTCATATCGTTCCGCCGCTCACTCAAAAAAGAACCAAGATTGTTTGAAGATCAGATCCAACTTTTCCATTCCATTCCTGTTCAGAAACATCCTCTATCTAAGGTAGTCGATTTGTAACCCCTCCAATATCCATCCCGCTGTGAAACAGTTCCTGTGCGCCAGTGTGCTTCATTCATGTAGAGTACTCTTTTTCTCGGGAGTCGCTCTCTAGAGCGAGCAAGACATGATCTTCGCTACAGCGGAACCGACCATTGTCAATGCTCTCTAGGGGTCGCCACGCCATTGTCATCTGAGACAATGATCTCATCCAACCTCAACCTAGGCGGCAGATCTGCCCAATATCTTGATTCGAAACGTTTTCAATAAACAAGAGATTCGTCTAGTTCTCATCCATCGAATCATCATCGTCCTGCTTATCATCGTCCTCATCGTCATCGTCAGAGCTGTCATCGTTGTTAACACCCACGAGGCGATCTTCACCCTTCCCGCGCTGCTCGGGCACCCGCTGAGCAAAGGCCTTGCGCACCGACGCGTTGGTGCTGGTGTCCCATACATGCATTGTTCCCTTGCTGCCGGCGACGGCGAGGCGGAAGGCAACCTCCGGGTCAGGCGCGAACGTGGTGGAGAAGACCTTTCCGACGTCGAGGTTGCGCGAAACCACCACCGAGGGCCCTGTGGACTGGATGTTCCACAGCTTGACCGTCTTGTCGGTCGAGCCGGTCACCATGTAACCAGGGACCACGGGGTTGATGTCGAAGGAAGAAACAGACTCGTCGTGAGCCTGGAGCGTCCAGACAGCCTTGGTGCCCGTAGGGTCGGACGGCGCATTGCGGACGTCATGGTAGTGGATGACACCGTTCTCCGTGGACACGAAGAAGAAGTTCGGGTCGTGAGGATCCCACCGCACATTCTCGACGTCGCTCTCAACGCCCCATCGGGGAGGCTTAGCATCTGGCGCACGCATATCGGCGGCCACAACAGTTCGGTCGTAAGAACCGCTAAGCAGCACGGTGGGCTCATTCGCGTGCCACACAAGTGAGCACACCTTGTCGGTGTGATAAGTGTACGACTTGGCGCACTTTGTCGTGTTGAGATCCCACAGCTTGACCGTCTTGTCGGCAGAGGCTGAAGCCATCAGATTGCGATGCTTGCGGTTCGCAGCCAACGACAGGACAGCGTCAACGTGGTATTCATCGTTGGACTTCTTAGACTTCTTCTTCTTCTTTTTTGACTTCTTCTCCTCCTCGTTGCCTCCCTGGCCGAGGATTGCATTGGGGTACATGCAGTCGATGGTGTCCAGATCCCACACCTCGATATCGGGGTCCATTGTGCCGACGGCGACGAAGTTACCTGCCGAGTCCTTCTGTACGCCGGCCTTGTTCACGGGCATGTCGATCCACTCGACACACAGAGGGATGGCTGGGAGCATGATGTCGTGGTGGACGTAAAGGTTGTCAGCCTCATCCTCGTAAACGAAAACCTCGAGGTGCGCCATCTCGTCTTCCACCTTGGCAGCCACAATAAGATTGTCGGTCGCAAGAATCTGGAGCTCTTCCCGGTCCTCATCCTCCTGTTCCTTGTCGGCATCAATTGTGATGTAGGGGTCGTCCTTATTCGACTCGTAGTATGCCAGCGACTTGATATTACCAAACATGCCCATGCCCTCGCCGTTTCCAGGCACATCCTCGTCGTCATCGTTGTCGTAGTTTTCCAAATCATATTCTTTTAGGTCATCATCATTAAGGTTGATCCTGAGGACTTCAGTCAGTCTCTGTTCTCCCTTCTCAGATATTTGTTATATACGTACTCCGTCTTCTCAGCCGGTTTGTCTTCATCGATCTTCATCTCCGAGTCCTCTTCATCGTCCGCGGTCTTGTTGGCCTTTGTGCCCTTCTGCACAGCTTCAGCTTCCTCAAGATCCTCTTGGGCGTCGTCCAGTTGGAGCTTGGCAAGCTCCGCTATCCGCTCAAACTCTGCCTCATCCAGGGTATACTTCTGAGGGAAAGGCGCAGCGAAGCCCCTAGGGACCCACTGTGCGGCTGTAATCATGGAAGACATGGTGATTGTCTGGGTATATTAAAATGGTGTTGTGAAAGCCCAGCTTGCATCGGTAGGTGGGCGCCCAGATAAATTTCTCCCAAAATTTCTAGTGGGGTTTATCGATAAGAGGCAAATCCATTAAGGGACCTCCGCTACCTAGCGTTAGGTGACAGGGGTCCAGAAGGTAGTGGAGGGGAGGATTCAGGTCAGTGATATAAGCTCAAGGAACTCTTTAACAAGATCGTTCTGGCATCCAGACTCACGGCATGAAGTTGCCTTGCTCTAGGAACTTGTCTTGAGAGTGCAAGAAACCAACACATATTAGTATCGATATGGCTCGTCAAGATGTTTTCACAAGGCTGCTACTAAGTTATTAACCTTTATATCATGTATGATATTAAGAACTAAGCAAATGAGAACTATGTTATGATTTATCAAGACATTACCATGAGCCTAAAATGACTTGCTCTATGAGCTACAAGTAACCAAGCTTACCTAGGTTAGAATAATAGAAACTCATCCAAGGCGCCGATTAAAACCCCCTACCGCGTCTCTTTATGACAGGCTTTTTGACTGCACCTTGTGTTACAAACTTCTTACCGTCTGCCCCTATCTTCTTGCTCTTCTTTTGAGTCCGATCTTCTTCCATCTGTTTCCTTTCTTCGTCCTTCCGCTTGTCATCAGCCATCTTGGCCTCAATCTCCATCTTTCGGTTGAATTCTGTTTCAGTGATTCGTTTATCTCGAACCGAATAACCCTTTTCCTTGACCGAGTAGAAGACACCACCGAGATCTGCAAGCCAGTGGGGGTCCACGGCTGTCACTGTCGAAACATAGACCTTGGAAGTGAGAATCAACTCGTGATAAACGATGTAATCCGGTGGGTGTCCTGCATATAACGCGCTTGTTGGGTGCAGCTGTACACCGAGGTTGGTGCGCAGGTTGATATATTCGCCTGAACCTTTGTATTTAGCTGCTTGGTGGTAGTATCCCGAGCAAATGCACTTGCGGACAATGTCCCAGTCCATTCCACAGCTTGTCAGTTCCATCTTTTGCATACGGACAATATCCAAAAGCTGTTCACGAATTTCCTTGGCTCGCCTCAAAGATTTCGGGTGCAAAAAGTGCTTAATACACCAACCGTCGGAGTAACCGTTGGCCTTCCAGTTTGTGTAAACCTGGAGGTATGTCAAATGGTCTGACTCATGCACCCAGAATTTCTCGCGGGCAGCATCGGCTTCTTCTTGTCTCTCCTTTGGTCGGTAAAAAACGTTTGGCACGGATAGCATAGAAACAATGGTAATCATCTCTTCACTGCAGCCGTATTCTTCCGCTGTAATGAGAAGCTTGGCCAGCGAAGGGTCCATGGGGAAAGCACTCATTTTCCTTCCAAGATCCGTGAGCTCACCGAGATTGTCAAGTGCACCTAGAGCCCACAGGTCGAACATTGACGTTGTAATGGTGTCTTGCGGAGGAGGGTCCATAAAGTCAAAGTCCAAAAGGTCCTTGACGCCGAGAGATTTCAACATCAGGACAGTGTTAGCAAGATTCGTGCGCTGGATTTCAGGAATAGTCTGTAAGTACAGATCTTCCTTGAACTCCTTTTCCGAGTACAGTCGAAAGGCCTTTCCAGGTCCGGTTCGACCGGCTCGTCCTGAACGTTGCGAAGCGTTGGCCTGCGAGATGGGCGTGATCTGAAGCGTGTCCATGCCGATTTTCGGATTGTAGACTTTCATCTTGGAGTAACCAGCATCCACGACATATTTAATACCATCAACCGTCAGGCTGGTTTCAGCAATATTGGTGGCAACAATGCATTTTCGGACACCAGGGGCAGCCTTGTCGAAAATCTTTGCTTGCAGATCTGCAGGCATTTGACTGTATATAGGTAAGATACTCAGCTTTGGGGGGTCGTTGAGGGCATCAAGTCGTTTTTGGATAAGCTCGCAAGTGATCTCGATGTCTTCTTGGCCTGTCATGAATACCAGAATATCGCCAGGGCCCATTGAAACATGGATTGACAACACTTGGTGCACTGCCTGGTCCACATAATCCTCGACGGGAGACCGATGGAACATGACGTCGACTGGGAAAGTTCGTCCAGGAATGATGAACTCGGGTGCACCGCCAAAGAAGTCCGAGAAGCGTTTCGAGTTCATGGTGGCCGAAGTGACGATAAGCTTCAGGTCGCGACGCCTCTGTAATATCTTCTTGAACAAACCCATCAGGATATCAGTGTTCAGGGCACGCTCGTGGGCCTCGTCCATGATGACACATGAATATCGATCTAGATCAGGCTCGTTGAGGGATTCTCGCAAGAGAACACCATCAGTCATGTATTTGATGACTGTCTCTTTGCTGGTGCAGTCTTCAAAGCGAATCGCATAACCGACTGTGCTTCCTAATTCAACCTCCATCTCTTCAGCAACACGCTTGGCTACACTCATTGCAGCCACGCGTCGCGGTTGTGTACATCCAATCATGCCGGTCTTTCCATATCCATCCTCTTGGAGGAACTGTGTCAGCTGTGTCGTCTTGCCAGAACCTGTCTCACCAACACAGATGACAACTTGGTTTTCTCTAATGACACTGAGGAGATCTTCACGAACTGCAAACGCGGGCAGATACTCCCGTTGCTCCCGTAGGGTCTTGCTCTGGCTGAAGTTACTCGCGCCATCGGCCTTCTTCATATGTGCGCTGAATTTATTACCCTTGCGCTCACTCGGTTCGGCGTTATCCTCAGCAGGTACTGGTAGCGCAGAATCACCGTCTTCCTCTTTAGCACCCATGATATTTCCAAGGGTCGTTCCGGTCATGCTTGTGGCCTCCTTGGCCTGCCGTTGACGTTCTCTCTGCTGCCTTGCTTCCTTCACCACCTTGCTACCCTTGCGACTGAAAACCGCCATATGACTCTGAGGGTCTTTGACGGCTGGAATTGGCTCTAGTTGCTTTGTGAAAATAGTCCGTCCGTCCAAAAAGGGCGGCCGTAGATCGTGTACCAGAAGATGAACTCTAATCGACTCGTCATCGTCAACAAAGTCGGATGCCATATCCCGTCTTTGCGCAACGCCTGATTGCAGCATTCGGTTTGTTTCCCAAGCGTCATTCTCCCGGTTCCTCTGGTCTCGTCGCGCATCAAAACGACTAGTCATCTTTTCGTGTCGGGCGGTTTCCTGTTGCTGTCCCTCCCAAGTGTCGTAGGAGGCGAAAGGGTTATGGGCTTCATCTCCAAAACTGTGGCCACCGAACTCATCACCTCCGTACCAGTCTCGGTCTAACGCCTTCGAATCCTCCTCGGTCGGTCCTATATTTCGGGGTGGTGGTGTGGAAGCATAACGCGATTGTGCCCTGTGGGGAGTTGAGGTGCGCGAATCATTCTGAAACCTTTGTCGAGGTGTATCAAGTCGTCTCCTCTTTGGATTTGGGTTATATCCATCGTACTCTCGATCCTCCGCCATTGTGTTGACTTGTAAGTTATCTGTCGATGCTTGGACTTTTTGTTGCGACGGAAACCTAGGTAGGCTCAGATAAGCAGATAATGATCACGTGGATGCTGCTATTTGAATGTACGTTAGGGAAGTAAGGTAGAATAACCTGGTAATTAAAATGCACGAAATCTGACAAAGAATTTAAAAATACCATATATTTGTCTAAGCAATCCTTTAGTGTAGCTTTAAATGTATCATCCCTTAGAAACCGAGGGTGCTCACTCTAGGTACCCAAAGGGCTGCAACTAATTAAATATCTAATATCTAAGATATATTAGATAACTAGAACACCAGGCTAATAAGATATAAGTACTTCTGATTATATAGCTTACAGATTATAACTTTTATTCTTACTAATATACTACCTAATAGCTAGTATATATAGCGGAATGATTAGTAGCTAATCAAAACCGGAGTCTTTTCCACAAAAATAACATCAGTTAAGCACCATCGGTTTCTAAGGGATAGGTAGGATAGGATATTTCGGGTCTTGTGAATGTCAATACTTAGACAATCAAGGCATGGCAACATGTGAGGCTCATCTTGATGAAACCTCATTCTGTCCACGCTCTGATTGAATATACGAGTACGTGATGTTGCGACATTCCTTCCTGGAAACACAGGTTATAGAGGAACAGACGGTTTCAAGTATTGGACTTTTATCATGATTTTGTTACTAACACAGGCTTTGCGTAATATCTCGTCACTTCCAATTCTCAACGGGTAACAACAAAGTCTTTCTCGTCGTCGATAATTTGCCGGTCTTCCTGGGAGACTCTAACCACGCGAGCAGATCTGGGGCCATTGTCTACATCCTTGAAGAATTTGGATAGGATTTCTTCACTGGCCTGAGCCTCGCCCTCGACCTATGAAAGCTCTATATTAGCCAATGTCAACTTGCTGGGGGCTTATATGCACTTTTTCATCCTTCGTGTTTCGACACCATCCCGTCACTCCATACTCTTGGGCCTTCTTCTGAGTAAAATACCTGCTATGCATTAGATGTGATGTTTCGGGATTTGTTATCTTGGAGAACCATACCGGAAACCAACACCTGGATGACGTCAGTTCGAGAGAATACTGCATAGGGAGTATGATAGAAATAGACATACCTTGGACACGTCCCTCAACGGCAAAATAGACCTTTCAAAAGGTTAGCTCTGGCTTTGTAATTATTGTGGAAGATGGCTCACTCGTTTCGACATATTGGCAAGTCCCAGTTTAATAGGTGAAATATACCAAGGTTATTGTAGAATAAAAGATAAGCTTCAAACTTGGGAAGGGTTGCAGAAGAGCTAGAGCTTCTTAGCAATCGGTAATAAATATGGAAACACGATGATTTTCATCGCCTGCGAGATATGATATAACTTTTATGTCAACTGCTTTATATGTTGGGAGTAATACCTAGGTGGCTTACAAGGTGGAAGGAAGGTGCATGGGTGCTGAGTTTAGGTTGTCGTTGATAAGATAAGCTCTGGACATACACTGATGTCACTTATCAACTTCGTGTGTTTCCACCAACTGAACCAAC